TGCTGCTGCTGCTGCTGCTGCGCCGTCTTGCGCAGACGCATCATCTCAATCTGGCCCGCCTCCCTGCAGAGAAAACAAAAAAAAAAATAATATTTATTATATTTTTTATTTTTTATTTTTATTATATTGTTATTTATATTTAAATTATAATAAACGCTAATAGTAAGAGTCTATAACAATAAATAATAGCCGCCGCAACAGCAGACAGCACTCCGTGCATACACCGCAGGCGCAGCAGCAGCAACAGCAGCAGCAGCAGCAGCAGCAGCAACAGCAATAGCAGCAGAAACAACAGCTGCGCAGCAATAGCAGCAGGAACAGCAGCTGCAGCAGCGGAAGGTCAGAGGCATACAAAGACAGACAAAGAAAAAGAGACAAAGACAGAGAAAGAGAAAAGATAGAAAGACAAAGACAAAGACAAAGACAACGAAGAAAAGATAAAAAGACAAAGACAAAGACAAAGGCAAACAAATAGAAAGACAAAGACAAAGACAAAGACAAAGAAAAACAGATAAAAAGACAAAGACAAAGAAAAATAAACAGAAAGACAAAAGACAAACACATAACGGGCGGCACAGCATCTATGATGGGGAAAAGCAAACGAAGAAAGAAAAGTCTAAGAGATACGAACGGTGAACCTGCTGCTGTTTCTGCTGCTACTGCTGCTGCTGCTGCTGTTTCTGCTGCTGCTGCTGCTGCTGCTGCTGTGTGTACCTGTTTGTGTCTTCCTTTTCCTCTCGCGAGGGGCTTTTACTGTCTCCGTGTTTGTTGTTTTTCTTGTTCTTATCATCACCATCTGCTGCTGCTGCTGCTGCTGCTGCTGCAGTGCCTCTGACTTCTCTCTCGTGCTGCAGCAACGCCACCTCCGCCTTCAGCGCCTCTATGCGCTGCCAGTGGCGGCCCATAAGCTTTGCTGCTCTCCACACAAACAACCATAGAACGAGACAAAACAACTCGATCCATAGATTTCTTTCATGCCGCAGTTGATAGCTGCTGCTGCCTTTTAGGGGGAGTCCTGCTGCTGCTGCTGCAGCAGAAAGAGTATCTGGCTTCCCTGCTGCTGCTGCTGCTGCTGTTGCTGCATACACCTCACGCAGCTTCATAGACGTCAAACTCAATCGAATAAAAGAATATAAACAAATACATGCAGCTACACCTATCTGAAAAGGGCCCAGCTGTAGATGCAAGCAGCACAGCGACACACACGCGCGGTGTACGCGCGGCGTCGGCACGAATATAAGCAAGGCTGCTAGCAGCCCCCCAAAGGGGAGAAAAAAATAAGCAAAATCCTTCATCATAAATAAATTAATAATACTTTTCTTGTTGCTGCTTCTGCTGCTGCTCCTGCTGCTGCTGCTGCTGCTGTTGCTGCTGTTGCTGTTGCTGCTGCTGCGACCAGGAANCTGCTGCTGCTCCTGCTGCTGCTGCTGCTGCTGTTGCTGCTGTTGCTGTTGCTGCTGCTGCGACCAGGAATGACCAACACAGCAACACGCGCGCTGCTCCTGCTGCTGCTGCTGCTGCAGGTGCTGTTTCCTTTGCTTCAGATATTTAATAAATAACTTCTTTTTAATATTATAATACATACAACACACACACATGCAATTCAAAGCCGAACACAGCCTGCCAGCAGCGGCTGCTGCTGCTGCTTCCGCTCCCGCTGCTGCAGCAGCAGCAGCGGCGGGCCCCCCGTGCTGCTCCAGCCTGTCGAGGCTGCTGCTGCTGCTGCTGCTGCTGCTGCTGCCTCCCCACACACCGATAAATAAAAGGAGTTGCTTGTTTTGTGTGTTTGAGGGTAGCTGTTGCTGCTGTTGCTGCAGTTGCTGCTGCTGCTGCTGCTGTAGAAAGACACATCCCGAGCAGCAGCAACAGCAGCAACAACCGACCAAGTGACTCACCTGGTCTTCGCGGCATGCGAGGAGCAGCGCTGCTGCTGCTGCTGCTGCTGGTGCTGCTGCTGCTGCNTCACCTGGTCTTCGCGGCATGCGAGGAGCAGCGCTGCTGCTGCTGCTGCTGCTGGTGCTGCTGCTGCTGCTGTGAAGCTGCAGCAGCAGCAGCAGCTTGTGTGTATATACTGTTGAATGTAGACTCAGAAGCACAACAACCAGACGCCAGCGAAAAGGGGTCTTCGTGGGGCCCCCGCTCGGCTTGGCGCTGCGCCGTGCAGCAGCAGCAGCAGTAGCAGCAGCAGCTGCTGCAGGAGTAGGAGTAGCAGCAGCTGCCGAGCTGCCCTGCAGCAACAGCCCAGCACCCGTGCCCGCAGCAGCAGCAGCAGCAGCAGCAGCAGCAACAGGAGTGTGTGATTGCGGCTGGTTGGCTACCCACTCTGCCTTGAGAAGGAACTGCTGCCTTCTCCTGTGCTGCGTGGAGATGCAGCGGCAACCATTGCAGCAACCCTAACAGCAACGGCAGCAGCAGCAGCAGCAGCAGCAGCAGCAGCGCTGCCAACCGCAGGCGTTTGTGTGCCGAGCTGCAGGCGCTGCAGCAGCACAATCAATCCGTAGCCGCACAAATAAGAGCAGCAGCAGCAGCAGCAGCAGCAGCAGCA